ATACACTTTCTGCTCATCACAACTTTTCTGGCCCTTGTCCCATTCCTTTTTTTTTTTTTTTTTTTTTTTTTTTTTGAGGAAGATTATCCCTGAGCTAGCATCTGCCACCAATCCTCCTCTTTTTCCTAAGGAAGATTGGCCCTGAGCTAACATTGGTGCCCATCTTCCTCCACTTTATATGTGGGACACCTGCCTCAGCGTGGCTTGATGAATGGTGCATAGGTCCACACCTGGGATCTGAACTGGTGAACTCTGGGCCACCAAAGTGGAGCATGCAAACTTAACCACTATGCCACTGGGCCGGCTCACGTCCTATTCCTTTATGGTCTGGCTACACAACATTTACCTAATTTAAGAAAACAATTGTAATAGGGAATCTACAATTGCTTCCCTTCAGCATTTTACTGGAAAGTCTGTCTATTTCTAGGAGTACTCAAGATGTTGAAAACCGAGAACACTATGTTCTAAAAATTCTCTTCCAAATGTCAACTCTGATAAATTATTTTACCCCCAGTGAATCATGGGAGTAACCATCACTTTTGCAAAGCACCTATGAGTCGGAAAAAAGAAACCTAGGCAAAATTGAGATCTGTTAAAATGTATTTGCAGCTTAGAAATCTATTGTTAATTTGCACAACATATTCTGATGGCAGAAAGCCTTCCTAAATGTGAACTTGAAGTTGACACAGAGAAACGCAACCTGACACCTCTGTTGCAAGCAGCCTATTTTCAAGAGTGAGGAAAACAACTCAGATAAAACGTCTATGAGTTTGTGGTAGGGTACCACTGAAAGAACGACGTCACTTTTCCTCTCTCTTGCTTTGAAAGCTCTGTGAGGTCCCTTTTGGGAGACGTGTATTGAAGTTACAACACACATGATGGGTAGATCGATCTCACAGCAATGCCTCAGTGTCTGAACATTTGTGCTTCTGATAAGAGCTAGAAATTTCTATGTTAAGTGGAGCCTTGTAAGCAGTCCTGATAAATGTTTACTAAATTGGTTTAATTACTGATTTTCACTTTGAGTTGAATCTTAAATATTTGACAGTTTTAGAATGTGGAATTCACAACCAACCAATAAAAAAGCCATCTTTGCAAATTTCTCCAACATTTTAAAAAACAGTAATAAAGATTTTGAATTTACAGTAAGCAATTGTTTCAACAAATTGGGCTGTTGCCTCAAATGGGCAAAAGCTTTCTGCTAATTGGATGTCTTGGCTGTATCACTTTTATGATGAAGAATGGTATAGTGTTTTAGGTATCTTTTGCCAAGAAAAGAACCACATAGTAACGCTAAAATGGAATGGACTATTTGGGAAATGGTTCTTCAAATTGCAAATGCTTACAGGCAGCATCCTTTTAATAAATTAAGTGACAGAAAGGAAATAAACATATCACTGTGGCTGTATAAAAGTGGCAACATTTGGGGGCCGGCCCCGTGGCCAAGTGGTTAAGTTTGCGCGCTCGGCTTCGGGGGCCCAGGGTTTCGCCGGTTCAGATCCTGGGTGCGGTCATGGCACTGCTTGTCAGGCCATGCTGAGGTGGCATCCCACATGCCACAACTAGAAGGACCCACAACTAAAATATACAACTATGTACTGGGGGGATTTGGGGAGAAAAAGCAATTAAAAAAAAAAGAAGATTGGCAACAGTTGTTAGCTCAGGTGCCAATCTTTAAAAAAAAAAAAAAGTGGCAACATTTGCAAAGCCCAAACAAGAAAATAAAAAAGAGATGAGTGCAGATTATGTGTTTGATATAAGTAATTAAAATGTATTATAAAGATAGTGAAAGTATTTTTAATATACATATGTCAGTTCGTGTACCCTGGGAAGCAAACATTGAGACAGAATTAGAAATGCAAGAGATTTATCAGGGATAAGGCCTATGAAAGACAAAGGGGAGAGAACAGGAGAAGTCAGTCTGTGATGAAGGTCTCACACCTGTGAGAGGAGCCAGGGAAGAACCCAGAATTGAAGAGGAAGAGCTTTGGGCTACAGTGCGGCTCTTCTAAGAGAGAACGGCAATTTGAAGATTGCCTGTGTGGGGCAGAGATGGCCAGGCTGCAGGCCCGGAGCCATGCTCGGTCATTGGCCGAGAGCTGCCTGGGGAGAGTTTTCCCAGGGTTTGGATGCTGTGACAGATCCCAAAGGGGCTGCAGCTGGAGATTATCAGCTGATTGCACTCTCCAGCAAGTTCTCTCTTGAAAGGATCTCTGAGCAGTGCAACTCCATGGATGACACAATATGCATTGTATCAAACATGATAAAATAGAATTCCATCTTAGTCAAGTTGCTTCTGTCAACTAGTAAGACACCAACATTATTTCTGCTAAATTTCGAATTTTTCTTTGCCAAAAGATGTGTGGCTTATAAGCTAATATGCTACCCTTTGATTCAGATGACTTGCTTCATGCTTTCTGACTCTGGTTCTGGTTTTTCATTTGCTTTGGGTAAAAATCAATTTGTAGGGGCCGGCCTGGTGGCCCAGTGGTGAAGTTCGTATGTTCCGCTTTGGCGGCCTAGGGTTTGCCGGTTCAGATCCTGGGTGCGGACATGGCACCACTTGGCAAGGCATGCTGTGGCAGGCGTCCCACATATAAAGTAGAGGAAGATGGGCACGGATGTTAGCTCAGGGCCAGTCTTCCTCAGAAAAAAGAGGAGGATTGGCAGCAGATGTTAGCTCAGGGCTAATCTTCCTCAAAAAAAAAAATCAATTTGTAATGCAAAGCATCATCTGTCATCATCTCATGATAATAGCTTATTATAGATAGAGTCCATTATGATTGTAAGTTTTGGATGTTTCTCATCTGATTTCTATAATATAAAACAATTGTTAGATGTTATTAGTGATGCAATTTTGAAACAAACTTCTTATCATAAATCTTTGCATTTCTGAAAGAGTTTAATTAAAGAGCAACTCAAAGTTCCAAGGCATGCTGTTCAAAAGAACCAACAAAAACCTATTACTCCTTGTAACTATATATTTATGTGTTGAGAAGTATTGTGATACTGTACAACCAAAGTATAAAAATGAATTGGACGGGGCTAGCCCAGTGGCGTAGTGGTTAAGTTCACATGTTCCACTTCGGCAGCCCAGGGTTCATGGGTTCAGATCCCAGGTGTGGACCTACACACTGCCCATCAAGCCATGCTGAGGTGGTGTCTCACATACAAAATTGAGGAAGGTTGGCACAGATGTTAGCTCAGGGCCAGTCTTCCTCACACACATACACACACACACACACACACAAAGAATTGGAGGCATAGACAGATAAAAGACAGATGATTATACGTAATTTCTGATTTCTATTTTTCACCTTCATCAATATGGCTTCATTGTTCCCCTTGATTGACTTGATAAAAATAAATACAAATGTAGATGAACTTATAAAATACATGTATGTTGAACATTAAATTTATTCTGCATGAAATATTGACTTAAAATGGGTTTTACAACTTTAAAATTTGGAGCATCCCTCTTTTACACTACAAATTAAAGGAGCACATTTCTTGGAGTGGGATAGTGGGTAAGAGCTTTTCTAAGAAGTAAAAAATACTGAAAAATGAGAGGGAAGAGTTCCACAAAGGTGACATGGAAACTGCCCAGGTTCTGGGAGACACGCCTGGTCCTCTCCAAGCCGTCAGTTGCTGCTCACCCCGCCTTACCAGCTCAGCGGGATTCTCACGTGAAAGGGAATTGGAGCTGGCAGTGTCCTCCACAATCCTCAACTCAATGTCACCAATCTTCTGGGAAATCAAAGCCATATCCTTTTTAGCTGTTGCTTCCAAAGATAGAAAAGAGTATACAGTGAAAAGTAAGTGTCCTTTCTTCCTCTGGTCCTTACTCACCGGGGTCATTTTCTGGAAGGAGCACAGTTACTAGTTTCTTGTTCGTTCTTTCAGAGATAGTATAAGTATTTGCGTATATACACATAGCCGTAAATCTCTATCTTCCACACTTATGGGAGCATGTTCTCTACATTGTTCTAGACCTTGCTTTTTTTCACAGTATAGCTTGGTGATTAGTACATAGAAATCTGCTCATTTTTATTTTAATGGCCACACAGTATTCCATTGTACTGATATGCCATAATTTATCTGAGTTCCTATTGATGGACATCTGGATGGTTCCTAGTCTTTTGGTATTATAAACAAGGGTGCAGAGAATATACTAATACGTGTATTATTTCGCAAATGTATGAGCATATCTGTAGGATAAATACCTACGTCTTTTTTTGGATATCAGGTTGGTCTTTTTTTTAATGATTTGTAGGAGTTGTATATTCATATAAATGAAGCTAGCCTTTTGGGCATAAGTCCCTAATCTTTAAAAGTTCAGGTTAAAAGTGGGTTGGAATCTTTCTATATTAAGTTTTCAATTTCTTTTTATGAATGTACATAGTATAAGGGAAAGAGGAAATTGTGTACATGTCAGGTGAGAATTATCAGTTGAAATTTCCTTATTTGATATATTTTCCTTTATAGTACAGTGAATTACTACCTGTAAGGATATACTAAAATTTTTACAGTGATGGTCCTATGAAATAAAATAATCCTTTTCATATTTCCCACTTTGTGAGCAAACTTCTTTTCTACTTGATACTTTGTCGTTTTCAGTAATTTGTCTTTTTCCTGAATGCCAATCTTAACACCATGTTACATCAAGGACTTGAAAATATAGAAACAAAGTGAAACATTAGCAAAGCTGGGCCTTTTGTAACATAATTCCCACAGACAGATGCAAAGCTGTCATGCAACCCAGGATTTCAAGAGCAGATAGAACTACTCTGTAACATTCCATAAGAAGTTAAAACCTGCTGAGCTGTAGACACTTTTGTTGGCATTACAGCAGTTGTGATCTGCAAAATCTTAAAGCAAACTTTTGTTGTAGCAAACTAAATAATATCTAAGGAGTTTATTTTTGATCTTATGATTCAGGATAAAAAAATTGTAACCCTTTTACACTCAGTGTTTACAAATTAATTTCCTTTATTTTTCAGAATATTTTTAATTTCAACAAGAAAAGAATAGCAAAGATGTCACGTATTAAATGCTGCCATCTTCCTATGATGCCACTTCAGGAGAACTCTTTAAAGAACACTAACCTTCAGAAAGATGTTTATCTACTTGCAAGGAACATAACCCCCAAGAGATTTTCTGGACTGTTGCCTAATTTGTTGGATTTTTATCAGATTTCCTGCATATGCTCAGGCACTCACACTTAATTAGTCATAATTCTTCTTTAGAAAAGGTTTGTGTTAGGGGCCGGCCCATGGGTGAGTGTTTGGGTTCGTGAGCTCTGCTTCAGCGGCCCAGGGTTTCACCAGTTCGGATCCTGGGTGCGGACACGGCACCACTCATCAGGCCATGTTGGGGCAGTGTCCCACATAGCACAACCAGAGGCACCCACAACTAAAATCTACAGCTGTGTACTGGGGGGCTTTAGGGAGAAGAAGAAGAAGAAGAAAAAAAAGAAGATTAGCAACAGATGTTAGCTCAGGTGCCAGTCTTTAAAAAAGAAAAGAAAAGAAAAGAAAAGGCTTGTTTTAAAGAGAAGTACAATTGTGATATCTTTGGAACTTATAAATATCTAGCCTAGAATTTCCTTAAGCTTGTCATCTGTTTCCTCATTTCAAAAGTTGAAACAGCGTCAGGCTGTGTTATAAAAATGTTGGGTTTGCTTTGCAAATACAGGAAAAGCAGCACTTCCTAATTTGCTTAGCGTGGAGCCCACATGACTTGGAATGATAGCTCCGGGCAGGTACTGTTCTAACAGCGGGAATGAGCAGCTTGTATGTGTGTAAGCACACGTGGATGCCTGTGTGCATCTGTGGTGGGAGTGTGTAGAAGTAATGTGATAGAGGATTTCAGAGAATCAGTATGAAAGTCAATTCATTCTTTAAACATTTGTGAGTGACAGAGAGAGGCTGAACTGGAGTGAACACACCTGGTTCAACCAAGCACATTTCCTCTCCTTTAGTCATTGATTAACTTATTTCCTTGAAATGAAAAGTGATAGTAAGTATTTTTCTATTCTTTAAATCCTTGAGCTAGGATTCATTAATAAGAATATTTTTATAGGAGCATGGTTTTTCCTAAAATGCTGTTTAAAGATGAGTTCACATTAGTACACTCTTTTAGATACTTAATAGTAGCTTATCATCATTTGTATCATAACTGTACTAAAAAAATTGACCATAGATCTAGTTCAAAATTCTATTCTATGTTGGAATTTACCTCACAATATCTGTGATAAATGGTTAAGCAGCTTTTAGTTGTTGTTCTTAGTTAAGAGAATTTATGGGAAACCATCTAGAACTGTTTCTGGTACAATTAACTTTTTGCTTAAAAACATTTTTTATTTTTTGCTGAGGAAGATTGGCCCTGAGTTAACATCTGTGCCAGCGTTCCTCTATTTTGTATGTGGGTCACTGCTACAGCATGGCTTGATGAGTGGTGTGTAGGTCCACTCTCGAAATCCGAACTGGGGAACCCTGGGCTACTGAAGCAGAGCGCATGGACTTAACCGTCATGCCACCAGGCCGGCCCCTTCTAAACGTTTTGTAAATGAAGAAATTTTACCAGAGGATAATCATTAACTTTATTCAGAGATTTAACATGAAGTTCTTTTTTTCCTGATTGTTTGTATGTTTTACTAGTTATGTGAGTGAAACATGTTTATGTTTATAAATCTAAACAAAACAGCAAGTTCAAGCGCACTGAAGCCCTAATTCTTAGCAATAGTCACTATTAACAATCAGGTGTGTGTGTATTTGAGTATATGTAAACATTAAGATGATATTTTTTATTTTACAGAAACAGGTCATTTGTAACAATAAAGGTCATTTTAAAACAATATGTCTTAGATATCTTTCTCTGTAAATAAAAACAGATGTGTCTTATTCTTTCTAATCCTGCAGTGTTTCCATCATGTGCTGGACCACAGTGACTAATCCCAACTCTAAGACATACATTTCATTTCCACACTGTAACAGTTTTGAATCCGGGATGCCGCTTGTATTTTACAATCCGTGACATTTAGCGCTACCATTGCCAGCCAGCATTTGTGACCTTGTTGTCTTTGCCTCGTTGTCATTGTGAGCTTGTTGTCTTTGCCTGGTTGTCATTGTGAGCTTGTTGTCTTTGCCTCGTTGTCATTGTGACCTTGTTGTCTTTGCCTACTTGTCATTGTGAGCTTGTTGTCTTTGCCTGGTTGTCATTGTGACCTTGCTGTCTTTGCCTAGTTGTCATTGTGACCTTGCTGTCTTTGCCTCGTTGTCATTGTGAGCTTGTTGTCTTTGCCTGGTTGTCATTGTGAGCTTGTTGTCTTTGCCTGGTTGTCATTGTGAGCTTGTTGTCTTTGCCTGGTTGTCATTGTGAGCTTGTTGTCTTTGCCTAGTTGTCATTGTGAGCTTGGTGGCAATTGTTCGAATTGTCATCGCTTTAATTCAGTTATGTGCATTGTGGGTGCTATAGGTGTTGAGTTTAATCGCTGTTTAAAATGTTTGGGGAAAGATGGCACTAATATTTTTCATTGTAACAAAAATTTATTGTTTATGCAGAAAGGCACAGAACAGAGCAGCAGGACATAAATTTGATTTTTAGTGAAGTGAATATTTGTCATTCAGGAAATAACTGTGCTAATTGCATCTTTTTATTTTTTTGGAAAGGAATGATCAAATTCTTTATGAGATGGAAGAAAGTAGGAAGCTCATAAATAAGGAAGTTGTGTTTGAATTTATTACCAAGATGTATGCAAGAGGATTGCCTATCATCAGCCGAGCAATGCAAGTGAGAGCTAGAGAACATGCCGAATTTCTCAAAATTGATTAATATATTTCAAAGCAACGGGAGGCTGGCATGACCACTGCATCCATCTCACAGAACTGTTCTGAAGGCATGTGTCATAGTTTAATTGACAGCAGTTTTTCTTTCTTGCTGGCTCATAAAATAATGATGGTCTTACTATCATGATGGCATGATGGCTAAGATTAGACCAACTACAGCATCTATGATCAATAGTAAGCACTGTGCTCAAGACTTTTATATAAATTTTCTTTTCTTTTTTTCTGCTTCTTCTCCCCAAAGCCCCCCCAGTACGTAGTTGTATATCCTAGTTGTATGTCCTTCTGGTTGTGCTGTGTGGGACGCCGCCTCAGTGTGGCCTGATGAGTGGTGCCATGTCCATGCCTGGGATCTGAATGGGCAAAACCCCTGGCCGCCGAACTGGAGCATGCAAACTCAACCATTTGGCCATGGGGCCGGCCCCATAAATTTTCTGCATACATTTTCTAAATGAATTATTATAAATAGACTTTATTTTTTAGAACAGCTTTAGATTTACAGAAAAATTAAGAACACCATACAGAAAGTTCTCATATATCCCACACCCAGTTTCCCTTATAATTATTTTATATTAGTATCATACAATTGCCACAATGATAAGGTACATGGTTTATTCTGATTTCCTTAGTTTTGCCTGATGTCCTTTTCTGTTCCAGGATCCCACAGTACATTTACTTGTCATGTCTTCTTTGGTTCTTCTTGACCATGATAGTTTCTCAGACTTTCCTTGTTTTGATGACCTTGAAACTTTTAAGGAGTACTGGTCAATTTATTTTGTAGGATGCACCTCTGTTGGTACTTGTCTGATGTTTTTCCTCATGATTATGACTGGTGTTATGGATTTTGGGGAGGGAAACCCAGAGATAACATATTATCTCAAGGGTAGTGTTGACCCTGTTCACTTGGCTGAGACAGCATATGTTAGGTTTCTCTACTGTAAAGTAACTCTCCCCTTCACCCTCCCACCCTCCACCCCCTGCACCCTGTCTCCCCTTGGAAGGAAGTCGCTATGTGCGGTCCACACTTAAGGCAACAACCGGATTCTGACCGTTCCGACTCCTAGCGCCCCGTGGGCCGCCGAGCTGAGGCTGCCGGCGCTGTCAGACAGGGCTCCGCGCTGTTCACAGGGTTCTCACGGCCGATTTTTTCGGAAGTGGGTGGCCAGGTCCTTCTTCCTAGTCTGTCTAGTCTGGAAGCTCCACTGAAACCTGTCCGCCATGGGGGACCCTGCTGGAATTTGAAATCCTGGTGGCAGAGCTCTCAGCATCACAGCCACACTCAGCCACCACAGTGTGACAGCCGACAGATGGGTGTGGGTCCCTGCCTGGGGGAAAGAGCCCGGCCAGGCGGTGAGAGCACTGGAGCCTAACCACCAGACCGCCGGGCTGCCTGGAGAGTCTATGGACATTGTTTGAAATTCTTCTGTATGGGAGATGTGTCTCTTCTCTCCCATTTATTTATTTATTTCAATCATTTACATCAGTGTAGACTCACGTGTGTTTATTTTATACTTTGGGGTACAGTTCAGTACCTTTTTATTTATTTGGTTGCTCAAAATGTTCCATATTTGGCCATTGGGAGCTGTTCCAGTTCGCTCCCATACTCCTTGGACATACCCCTCATCAATGCCAGTTTTATTTTTGTTTTTATTTTTCAGCATTTCTTTCTTATTTATTTATTTATTTTTGAGTAAGACCAGCCCTGAGCTAACATCTGCTGCCAATTCTCCTCTTTTTGCTGAGGAAGACTGGCCCTGAGCTAGCATCCATGCCCATCTTCCTCTACTTTATATGTGGGACGCCTACCACAGCATGGCAGGATGAGCAGCGCCATTTCCGCACCCGGGATCCAAACCGGTGGACCCTGGGCAGCTGAAGCAGAACGTGTGGACTTAACCGCTGTGCCACCGGGCCAGCCCCTTAACATTTCTTATTTCCTAGTATCTAGTTGAATTCTTACAACAATTCTATGAGGTAGGCATTGTTATCTCCTTGGCTCTCGATGAAGAAATTGAAGTTCACAGAGATTAAGTAGCTTGCCCAAGGTCACATAGGAAGCAAAGGACTAGATTTGAATTTTGCTCTGTCTGAAAGCTTTTAATAACTTTTAATATATTATCCTAATATTTAAAATGTAATAAATTACGTCATTTTAAGAAAAAGAATTCTGCCATTATATCCTGATAGATATGTGCATTTCCATCTTGATTTTGGACTAACAAGAGGAAAATGTATCAGCCTGGAGCCGAACACAGAACTTTGGGGACCCTGTAAGCCTGTGCGTGTCTACTCAAACTATCAGATTCTGGTATCCATGGCTCCAGGCTGCCCACCCTCTGTGGGAGCTGAGTTGCTCTTCTGTTCAGAGGTTACTTACTGCAAACCCTTGTAGTAGAGTGTGTCAGGCCATGATTTTGTTGCCATGTCTTGCAGGAATATCCTCTTTTCTTCCATTCAACAAAGTTTTATGGGAGCCTACTGTTCTGGTGGAACTTACACCCTAGTAGGAAGAGACAGA